CTTTGTATGTCTATATATTTTAGTTAATATAATAAAAAAAATTGTAATTGACTTTGTCGACTCCAGAAAGTTTCTCAATAGGACTCTATTTTTTTTTGTATCTAATCTCAAAGCTTTTCTGGGTGAACTGATTTTGATGATTCTTTTTTAATTGATAATGAATGTTTCTTATGTCTTTCCATATCAATAGGTACATGACAGTAATTTTGGAGTTATCCTGACGATAGATACTTTTTATTTGATAACTAATGTTTCTCGTGTGGTTCCATATAAAAATCTATGATCAGGTAGTTTTGGAGTTATTCTAAAAATAGATGCGACTTTAGTCTGAGGGCACCGTTAGGAGTACGAACCTCGACTCAGGCTGTTGCAACTTCGATCCTCGATTCAATTGGACGGGAATGGATTGAAGGTTATCTATAATTTTATGTATGAAACGATAAGAAATATAGAAATTGAGATTTCACTTTTGACTTAGAAAATTACTAAATAAGTCATGGGAACTCTTGAAAGTATAATTGAGCATCAAAGAATTAATCTTTAGTAGATTTTTATAGAATATTATAATATATGTCCGGGCTACGCATAGGTGTATATGTATTATACATATAAACCTTCCTCTTGAATCGCTCTATCTATTGCTGAAAACCGCATTAAAATCCGTTGCGTAATTTCAAAGATATAAACGAACAGAGAGCGGAAGGAATTTCATATGTAAAGATATCACTTTTGTATCTATGTAATTTTTCTAGTCTAAATATATATACATAACTCAAAGGTGACTGGCGTAGTGATCTATCAACGCACAGCCCAAACCACTGGACGGATCGGGCAATTTGACATTCAGTTAGATGTTGACGTAGGCATCCGCTAAGAAAGGATTTTGATAAATTCCATCCCTAAGGGGATAAAACAACGCGAGATGAAAGTTTGTATGAAACTTTTGCTTGTCAATATATAAACCATTGAGATCATGCATTTATGATATAATTTAATATTTTATAAATTCCACCCCGTAAGATAAATTAATTATATAATGGAGGAAAAAGGTTTCAATATATAAACCATTATCATTTTAATATAATTTAATATTTTATCTATTGCGTAAATTATTATATAATGGAGTAAGGTTACAGTCTAATGTAAGTATAGAAGGTTATAAGTATGTATATTTTGGAATTATATATACTCGATGGAGGGCGTCGATACACAGTCGATACACATCGTAACACAGTTTTATATTTCTCTAAAGGTCATAATTTTTTCAGTAATTTAGTCCACATATTTCTGTTTCAAATCTCATTCTTCTTAACATTATAAACGCGAAAGTTTGTGAGTTCCTTACTCAGTTTGTTACACTTTCACGCAAAAACTACTTAACGGATTTTGATGAAACTTTACAGTAATATAGCTTATGCATTAGAATAATATATAGGCTATATTTTTTTATTGAAATTTAACGCGAGTGAAACCGCGGGCACAGATAATAAATAAATTCAAAATAAAAAAAATCTCTTTTTCTAATAGGAAGCCTCTGTCTGCAAATTCGACTCGCACTTTGCCGGTTTTTTTATAAGCTCATAAGTCGGAGGGCCAGCGTAATGATACATCTAAGGCACCGGAGGCGTCACCCTGCATGTGACGGTGACGGATGTGTTCCCGGCGATGTGGTTGTGTCGTATTGATAGATAGGTGGGGGAGACGCGGCGCCGTTGTTAGACGCTTCGCGTAATTCTTGTGACAACTTAGTTAAAAAGTCTAATCTTTTATTACTATATCACGGCCTCAGTGGTCTAGAAGTTTAGGATACTGCCTTACTTTTGATGGTCGCGGGTTCGATTCCTCGCACGGCACAAACATTTAAATTCATGAATAGGATTGTTTGTCGGTCTGGGTGTGTTCTATGTTGTAATATATATGTATTTATGAAAAAATAATTATAGCTATTTAATGTCTTTGTATCAGTTGAGTGCGTGTGTCGCCGTAAGAATAGCATCACCCCCTCTCTTCCCTTAGGTGTTGTAAAAGGCGACTAAGGGATACATCGACCAGTGGACGGGCAGCACCGTTCTGAGTAACTACCATCACACTGCGATCGCCAACACGCATGCCAAGCATGGCGATTATGGAGATCTTTGGGGGAGGCCATTTTCCAGCAGTGGACGTCTTCCGGGCTGAGACGGTGATGATGATGATGATTTGTATCAGTTATCTAGTATCCAAAACATAAACTTTATCTAGCTTAACTTCGATCTAGATGGCGCTGTGTGAATTATTATTATCTGATTTATACATTTTATATCGATATTCTTCGCTATTCTTATTATTGTTATATTATTTTTATTATTAAAACAATGTAGTAGTATAGAATAAGTATGGGACAATTTCATCGAAGCCTTTATATAAAGTCTGAGTAACTTTGTCTCGCCTATTTCATTTTATTTTCGTCAAGCAGCTTTCTTGACACACTTATTTGACATTTATCAATATATTTCGCCCAATATACATAATATCCTTTTAAATTATAGCCTATTTAATAAATAATAACATATAACAGTGTAAAGTTACATCAAAATCCGTTAATTAGTTTTTGCGTGAAAGAGTAACAAACATCCATACATCTATCTTTCCATTCACAAACTTTCGCGTTTATAATATTAGCAATATTAGTAATCTTATTGATATAGTTAAACTGTAGCTGATTCGTGACCAAGGCTAGTGCATATCATAACGTCGAGAGAGATGAATGGCAATGCCATTCCAGAGAAAAAAAAATGACATGACCATTTTCCTGTAATTCACTGCCGTGTCTCACCCAACCGACACAGCTTACAAAGCAAGCTGCTTGGCGGCTGAAACACATAAGACTAAGACACCATCGTGAATGACTTTTTAAAGTTTACTATGTTGGTAAAAAGCTCTAGAACGGTTTGAAGGCAAGACTTTTAGGACTTTAAAACTTAACATAATACAGCAATGTTATTGATTATCTATACAATGTTATTTCAAGAACCGACAGCATAATATTTTACTATCCGAGGCACGCACACACATGCATTGGTATGGTTATACAGAACACGTACACGTCGCACACACGGAAAGGCCAAGAAAAATACTCGTGTCGCGGGTTTTTCTTGCGGACAGAGGCGCGGTGGAGTCGAGAAAAATTTTGCAATATTAATATTTTACTTTACAAAAATTTATATATAAATTGACTTGTATAAGTGGTATAAATTGATTTATATTATAAAATTATTTATTATTCATAATTTGTGCTAGGTCATGTACATGCAGTACATGACCTAGCACAAGTTTTCGAATTAATAACACAAATTATTTATGTCGTTAATTATTTATATCATTTATATCGTTCCCCATTATATTAGAATACAAAAAAAAGATAGTTTTATTCAGTTATGTTTTCTTCAAATCATATTGTAACCAAGGGAATTTGGATTTTTAAAGTGACTGGCAATGTTTTTTGAAAAATGGGGTCAATTTTAAGGCAAAAATGAGAATAATATATCTTAATAATTTTATACACGCGAAAGTTTTTAAGTATGGATATTTGTTACTCTTTTACGCAAAAACTACTGATCGGATTTTGGTGAAACTTTACAGTAATATACCTAGCTTATACATCAGAATAACACGTAGGCTAATTTTTTTATGATAATTATGAATCTATCTGTACTATTGCTTTCTGTTAGAATTTACTAACTAGAGTTTTATCTCGGTTATTTTTTTTTCAAGCTTATGGATTACATTTTGACCACATGCTTATGTGCAGTAGTAGCACTAACCAACTAAGCACATATTAGTGCATATATACTCGTACTTAGCATCGTACAGCGTACAGCATCGAAAAAACCTGACTCATAAATCTTTCTTTTGTTTTGAATTTGGAATTAAACATAGAATATTAAAAGTCTGAGTGGCCAGTAATAAAGTTAGTTCTAAAATAAACAGCCAAATTTTATTTTTAAGCAAAATATCACATTTAGAGAATATTCGTCAACTCAACACCTCCTGAAACCTTCACACGTTCCACATACATATACGTCTTCTGCGTCACACGTGATTGTAACTATCCCCCTCACACATACAGCACTAGAGCGAGACGCCCGCCGGGTTTAGGACTAACATTTTATATGTTGGCTGGGTCATGGATATAAAAATCGTTTCAAGACATACGTATATATACTATGTTGGTACGTAACGTAGAAAAGCATTAGAGTCTTCAATAATAGAGAATTATTGCTATAGTGCAGCCATTTTAAAGATTACTAGAGACGTCGCCCCGGCTTTACTCGGGTAATCGTTATTGCCTCTAATATTGTAGATGATAAAGTTTATTTGTCATGATTTACTCTTTGACGCTTTAACTAATCATGAAATTTCATTTTATTATTAGTATTTAAGATGAAGAAGAATATAGGTTCTTTTTTCCTTAGGATCAGTATATATTATTATGATATTAATACATTTCGTCCGGTGAAGCTGTAAGGCCAGCTGCGGCCAACAGCATTAGAGTAGACCGAAAAAAAACCCAGTAAGAATTAAGGTTTAGCGAAAATATTAATAATAATAGGTATATATAAAAAAATTTGTGAGAACATGCTCCTTTGGGGAGAGGATTTGTAATAGGGACTAGCGGCCCTATTTTTAGCAATGCACCATCTTGTCGACCTCCACGCGGTCCCCCCTGGAAAGCATTGTGGTTAATTCCTGGTGAATTCGCCACAATGGGCAAACTGACCTGACTTCTGTTGAACATTTAATATCATCTTCCATTGGTGTCCTGCGAGCATCTACCGTAAGCGCAGGCGAATGCACTATTCGAATAATATCTATTAAGAAAATCACGCTCCTATGAAAAATCTGTTAAAAACACACGAAATATCGGTTATAAATATATACACCATACTTTAATCACTCTTTTGAATCTGTGTTCAATATGTGAAATTGGTCACAAATTAACACAAATGTTTGTCCAACAGCACTGCCAACAAAAAGATGGCCTGGAATACGCCGCGTGGTCACGACCACGGGGTGCCATGGCCATCAAGCAAGGCTACGAGGTGAGACGTTGTGGTAGACGTGGTAGACGTAGTTTGATCATCATTTTATCATTGTTCATCGTTAGTATTAACTCCTGATCACTAATAATAACTTCTGATCACTAATAATTACTTCTGATCACTTTTAATTATTATTGATCACTCCTAATCACTACTGATCACTATTGATCAATGTTGATTACTAATGATCAACCTGTAACTATTTCATTATCATTACTAATTACTATTGAACATTCCTTTATATGTTTGTATTATGTAGTTTATAATTTCAATTGCATCGTTCTATTATACGTAGTAATTTATTATTTCGTATTTTGAATAGAAGTTGATAGTTTTAGATGTAGATAAAATATTAGATAAGTTTTTTTTTTCTTAAAATATGTAATTTTTTGTATTGTAAGACTTGTAATAACAGAAGAAGCCTACGTATATCCGTCGTCATTATACAATCTATATTCTCGTCTCATTTAATTATTATCTGTTCAGCCATTTATTCGTAAAAAGGTAATATAAATTCAAACAAAGAGACATACTCACTTTGCCATTTATTACATTTTTATAGATTGACTAGCTGTCACAGCAAGCGTTATTTTGCCTTAAAATAAAAAAAATTTATAACATTTAGGGGGATGATAAATAGATGTTGGCCGATTCTCAAACCTACTCAATGTGCTAACAAAATTTCATGAGAATCGGTCAAGCAAACGGCTTGACCGATTCTCGGAGGAGTATGGAAACGATTACTGAGACACGAGAATTTTATATATAAGATTTAAGCGTGAAAAAATAATAGACTATTTTATAATGATAAACACGGGAATCATGTTATTGATTATTATTGAGAAAGTCTTAATAAATACTAGCTGACCCGCGCTACTTCGTCTGAATCACACTTACGTGACATTTATCATTATATTTCGCCTAATTTGCATAATATTTTTTTTATTGTAGCCTATGTATTATTCTGTTATATACGCTACATATATTACTGTAATATAAGGTTTTATTAAAATCCGTTCAGTAGTTTTTGCCTGAAAGAGTAACAAACAACCATCTATCCATCCATATTAACAAACTTTCGCTTTTATAATTATTAGTAAGGTTCTGTAATCAAAATATAAAACAAAATTCATCACATTTTTTTCCATTACGTACATAAAAATTATTTTACAAAATATGTTTAAACAATTTTTAAAAACGTTTAATAATTTTTAATAAGTAATGGGAGCTGCCTAAAAATCAGCGCTGTATAAGTGTACCTCATTGAGGTTATAGTTATAGCAGCAACAGCGAAGGTAACTCCTGTTGCCTGCAGTTTTTTTTTATTTTTGGTAACCTATTAATTTTTGCATATTAGATTTTATGCATCCATCCATACCTATTATAGTTTTAGTACAAAGTAGCTTTAATTATCACGTTATCAAATATTAGCTCGCTAGAATCTAAATTGTCTCGGCAAGTGCAGTTGAGAGGAATCTCCTCCCGCATACACTTAAATTTTGGAATGAACTACCTGCCGAGGTTTTCAAGAGAGATCACAGCATGGGGTTTTTCAAGTAGAGTATATTAAGGTTTCTTAAGGATCGGCACAACGTCTGTGATAGCTCTGGTGTTTCAGGCTTCATAGGCTTCTGTAATCGTTACCACCAGACAGGCCGTATACTTGTTTACCAATATCGTTGTAAAAATTGATACAAAATAACTTTGTTACTTCACGAATAGCATTAAAATTATCATAACGATAAATCTCGGTGTTCTAGTGACGGTAGGCGTGACCGCTGGAGGGGACAGTGTCAAATGGACCCTCTTTGTCACAGTTCCGGAGTTACACCCTGTATGTCCCCTGCTGATGACGTCATTTCTCTTAAAAATCACAAGATATAGATCTCATTGTTGCAATTACGATTCTGTAATTTTCTCTTTTTGAAATTATCCTATATAAGCTAAGCGGAACTTGAGTTATGGGTACTAGACAACTGATACAAATACTTAAGTTTTTTTTTTAAATACATTCATAATGTAAAGAGAAAACACCCAGGCCGATAAAAATAATCATACCCATGTATAAATGTTTGCACCGTTCAAGGAATTGTATTCAAAAGCAATACATAAAAATACATTAATACAAATGTGCAACGAAGAGAACCCGCGACCATCAGAAAGCGATGTGTTAAACCGCTAGACCACAGGACCCGTCTTAGTAACAGCAAATAAATCTTAAAAAAATATGAGTATACTAAGAAAATTAATTAAATTCGAAGTTTGTTACTCTTTCACGCAAAAGCTACTTAATAGACATTAATGAAACTTTACAGTTACTTAAAAAATTAAGCTTATACATTAGAATAACACATAGGCTATAATTGTCACGCGGGTGAAGTCACGGCCACTGCTAATCCGATATAAAACATAGAAAAACAATCAAAAACAGGAAAAAACTAGTTATTTACTAAGATTTATAATTTAAAAAGCAAATCTATCAGTTGACTGCATGCGAATTCACTTCTAAAACTGCAAAATGGAGAAAAACATGGCTGTTTGTTACTCTACTCGCAGTTCGCGTCAAAACTTGCCATTATCGAGGATAGATGGCGCTGCTCTAAAGACCCAGCATCCACTTTGGGATGTTGACGTGTTTTTACGATCCGGCGTTAAAGTATTTCGCATTATATTGTGACCTATTTTACGGTTTATATTCTTTTGAAAGTATGTAGAGTTCTTCAGTCTCTTTGTTTGTTATAAGTTATTTATTATATACGTACATATACTTACTGAGCCTGCGTTGTTTTGCCAAATAAATTAAAAACGCTATTAAAAATAGGGGTTGGTGATGGAAGGCTGAAAATTTAGGGTTATATGTATTTTTTAATGATACACTATAGTACAAAATGTTTATATAATTATGACCTAAATATAAAAAATAATAAATAAATTGCGATTTTCTAAAAATCCTAGGGAAATAAAGCGGTATATAAACCGCTAAATCATAGGGGTCGTAAACATGTTTGTGAAACCAATAAAAATAGTTATTCAAAACACTGTACGAGTACATGTCATAAGTGTGTAAGTTAGATTTTATATTCTGTGTGTTCCAACATAGTCTACATTTTATATCTTCTGGGAGTCTGTGCACTTTAGGATAGATAGATAAATTATTATTCATCAACAACAACGATTATTAAAAAAGAGCAACACACAAATTTCTTATAATGAGAAAGCTTTCCAAATGAGCGGTAGTTTAAAAAAATTGTTAAGACTATTCAAAAATGTTTCAATTAAGCTTATTTGAATAAAGGATTTTCTATTCTACCATTCTTGTGTTACAAACACAGCATACAGGAATTACAAAAAACACATGAACAAATAAAAGAAATGGAGGTGACTTTATGTGCCGCAGAGGTGAATAGGCAACTAACTATGAATACAACTTTAGATATAACTGCAGCGCTGATATTCTGTTGGCTCCTGTACTTATACTTTACTTAGGAGAGGCTAAGAAGCTGTTATATGTTCCTAACAAGAAGCAAGAAGCCTTCAAATAAATATCTTATCTTTTATCTATCTTAACAGAAACAATACATTTGGAAACAATTTTCGAATTATTCAAATACTATTGGCCGCAGCTGGTCTCTATAGCTTCACCAAATGATAGAGAACGAGTGTAGATGGCACTCCAAACACGCGGAAGGACTTACGGAGCGGCTGAAAGTCAACTCCCGCTTGACGGATACGAGTTTGGTCTGAGGGCACCGCTAGGAGTTCGAATGGCTAAGGCTATCGTAAAGTCCCCGTTTTAATTAGATGGGAGATCAAGCAGAAGGGCATTTAGGAACATTAAAATTTTACTGTTTTAATATTTGTACTAATATTAAAAATTTAATTTCGGAAATTTAACGAGGTCCCGTAGGATAGTTGAAAATCTTTAGTAAGTTGGCTAAGAATGAGGACCTTAACTTAATTTAATAATCAATTCTTTGATATAAACAATAATACACACAGTTATCAAATGAATAAATGAAATTTATATCTATAATAACAATTTAATAATATCCCTCGTTTTAACCCACTCAGTTCCGCATGCGGTCAGTTAGACCCGACGCCAAAATTGAATTTCACATCTCGTCGGTAGAGGGCGTTATCTGCACTAAATTAATTCACAACGAATGCCGTATATTGTCCATTGGTTTTGGGGGCCCGAATAGTTTCTGATTTATGACTGTTCCGTACCTTTGCTATGCGAGTGTCATGTATCTGTATATAGATTATACTGACTTATAACCAAAAGGTCGATAGTTCAAGTTTGGCGGACACCAAAAAAAACGTTCTGTCAATTTATAATTTTGACTGACTCGCCGGTGAAAAAGCATCGTAATTAAAACAAAAAATGTTCTGTCTTTATTTTATTAATTTGTATGTTTAATTTTTATATTTTGTATTTATAATTTTGATGACTCGCCGGTGAAAAAGCATCGTAATTAAAACAAAATAATACTGTATAAGGCACAGAGACAGGCTGCTACTGTCGCCCTCTTTGTTGATCCTACATTCAAATAATCCCCCGGTGTCATTTATAAAATACATGATCATTTACCACTTTCATTAAAAGACGGAAAAAATTATTTTAAAAAAATATACATTCTCAAAATTTTGGGAGTCGTGAAAAAGTCGTATCAAGAATTAAAGGCATGATGGAAGATCGCGGAAAGTGGCAAAATAACCACCGACAAAATAGATCTTAAATTATGAATGAATGAATACATTCTCAAGACATGGTTTATTATAACATACAATTATACTGTTTTAGAATACACAATACAGATATACTTATTTAAATATCGTATAATTTTATTATTTTAATATTAAAATAATTACGTATATTTTGATATAATTTCTTATTCTATTTTAGAACTATAAAACGCCAAACTCGTCGTCTTTTCGTAAGTTAACGTAGTGTGCGTCTGTTGTAAACTTAACCACCTACTATAAATGATAGAATGCAAAGCATAAATAAATAAAATATATAATATGTTGAAAACAAAGTTTATGACAACATATTGAAAACATATTTTTATAGTTTCATTTTTCAATTAAAAATGTTTAGTCAAGAAAATAACCTCACATTTGGAAGTCGGTTAAAACAAACATAGAAGACCTATGCACCTCTTTTGTTAAAACCGGACACTTACAAATAACCCATTCCTGATAACACTCATACATCAAAACACCAAAGTTGGGGTGGCTAAATTAAATGATTTAGTTAAGGACGTCCGAGATGCATTAATAACACACGATTTGTCCCAACAGCGTGGTCACTGAATTACGATTGTTGCCATAGTTAAAATTAACGTTTACATTTTAGTTTTGAACTGCGGCACCCGCACTGTCATTTGAGTGTTAATGTAAATTGCAAGAGATGTTATTACCGTTATTTATTTAGATATTCGTCTGCTGAAACTGTAAAGGGTAGCTACTGGCAATAGCATTACAATAGTTAAAAAAAACAAACTGCCAGAATAAATTCTACTATTAAACTAATAAGTAGTGGATGACTAGATATTAGTTTAAACCCTGGCTTTGCCCGGATGCTCATCCATTGGTGCCTCATCAGCATGAAACCCAGGCGGAAGCATCGTTCATTTCTTTACATAGTATAAAATGAAGTCGCTTCCGCTGTCTGTTCGCTTAGATCTTTTAAACTACGCAACGGATTGTAATGCAGATTTTATTTATAGATACTCTATCTATTGCTGAAAACTGCATTACAATCCGATTTAAGAGGTAGATCTATATATATCAGGGATGTTAGGGAGCTAGTATAAAATAACGAAACCATCGGATATCCGATATAAAAAAATATTCGTTACAATATAACCGAATCCGAAATAAATGTTTCGTGATAATATCGGATAGGGGCGGAGCCTAATTGAGACGCGTTATGTAACCATTTTAATAAATTTTTGTATTTTACTTTTGAAATTCCATAAAAATTCATATCCGTAACCGAAATTATCCGAAAGTAAAGGATAATCCGAAAATATTATATTTTTCATATCCGCATCCGTATCCGTATCCGCTATAATAATCAATTCCTATATCAACTAAATTACCTATCCGTATCCGAAATTTCATATCCTTTATCACATCTCTGGTCTATATGTAGAAAATCTTGTACACCCGTGAAAAGTCGGGGCGGGTAGCTAGTATAATAATAAAACAGTGCAAGTATTTCTCAAGACAGTAGTTTCAGAGTTTATTTGTAGTAAAATTTGCACTCTTTGTCTCTACAATATAAGTATAGATTTATTGTAGTTGTACTAAATGGTAAAGTGGGTATTAATTACTCTGTATGTGTATCACTAAGACGTCACGTGACCAAGGGTATGTTTTTGTGAGTCCACTAGGCTCACTAAAAATAAAATTAAGTAAAAAGTCGACCATGTCTAGAAAAATACTTTTATTTGTATATTTATATGTTTTTATAACGACTGTTTGTTGCCAAAATAAAGAGAAAAAAAAAAAAAAAATAAATAATGTAACAGTTATGATAGCTTAGTAATAAAAAATAGAGGTTGATAATAGAAGGGTGAAAATTTGGCATGTATTTTTCAATACTAAATCATAATAAAATAAAATAAAAAAATGCGATAAAATTAAAACAAAAAATTAAGGGTGGTTCACCCTTATCATTGAGGGGTATGGAAAATAGAAGTTGGACGATTTTCAGACGTATCTGATATGCACGCAAAATTTCATTAAAAATCAATAAAAAATAAAAAGAAGCTTTTCCTGTCAAATGGCAAGAACCCAACAAAAAAATAAATTAGCGAAGTCGGTCTATCCGTTTACGCGTAATGTCATGACCAAGGGAAACAGGGGTTTTATACTAGCTGTCCACGGTCTCACATGTTTATAGCCTTTGTTATACTGTTATATAAGCTACTGTAAAGTTTCATCAAAATCCGTTCGGTAGTTTTTGCGTGAAAGAGTAACAAACATCCATAGATCCATCTATTAAAATTTTCCCATTTATAATATATATAGATAACCAAATTATATGCATTGCTAAGGGAAGTGTAACACTCGGTCACAGTGTGTCTCAAACCTAAATATGATTTATATAACCGCATTTATCGGCACCGGATCTAGTTTGAGAGCAACTGACCGACTTCGGCTTTTATTTATGACTCGCCGTTTGCAATATTTTGTGAATTATATACATACATACATAATGCGATATATATTATTTATTTATAAATTACGTCATATTCCTAAATTATTAGAGTACCATGACTTAGTAGTTCAATAAATATTGTTTGATTTTTTATGGACTGTATCTAAATAATCTGACGGGTACGTGGATTGACGATACACTGTTAGGTTGGTGATTGAGAACTGCTTGTGAGGATGGAACACAAAGAAACAATCCTAGTATTAATATATATTGTCTTGACTGACTCTCCGTTAATGGTAACACCGTAAGCTCATCGTGTATCATTATCATTCATTGTCTGCACATTACTGTCTTTATTAACATTTGTGTATTTAATTGACTGTGTGCTATTCTGTTTCAGCGTTCAAAATGAACACGGACGCGCGCACCATTGTAGCCATCAAGCGACATCTCGCTCGACTTAAAACCGTCTGGGTCACCACCAGTCGATGAGATAAAGGAATTAGTGTAGTGCCAATCCTTAGAAAATTAACGTTTCGGTCCACGCTAAATTATTTATTTGAACAAACTATTACTAATAATAATTATCAATGATAAACCTGATGGATGTTATTGCCATCAACCATAGTAGTTCCGCATTTGCTTTTTTCATGAGTTCGAATTTAACAGACACTAAAAATAAGTATATATATATATATTCTTATTGGTCTGGATGTTTTCTAAGTATATTATTGTACAAAAAATATAAATAAATATTTCTATCAGTTGTCTTTATTAACATTTGTGTATTTAATTGACTGTGTGCTATTTTTTTAAAATGAACACGGGCGACTCACCATTGGTCTGTCATCAATAGTGAGTTCAGGACGACCGTCTGGGAAAAAAGTCGATGAACAGAGCTGTACAAGTAAACTGTATAACAGATCAGAGAGTAACGATTTTCTAGATCACAGTTGGAGACATCAAGCACTAAGTCCGCCATGCATTTTCTGTGCATCACGCATTTGTTATATATATAATATATAATAAAATAACGGCCTCTTGACTGACTCGATGATTGTGGTTTAGCAGATGCAACATTTGTTTTCCAGTACAATATTTTGGATGTTTTTAAGTATAGTATTGTATCTACAAAAAATATAAAGAACTATTTCTATCAGTTCTTCTTGTGATAACACAAGTTCTGCTTAGTAAGCGGTAGACTAAAAAATACAAGTGATGACTGTTAAAAAGTGCTTCACTGTAAGTTTATTTGAATAAAAGTCATTCTCTTCCGTATATAAATTATATTTTGTGGAAACAGAATTAGAAGTAAATTATACATCATCCTATACGTGGAAAACGTTTGATCAATTTTGTAAAATATGATCTATTGAACCATTATTTCGTAAAAAAATGATTTCAATTCATTTCAAAAGAAACAGAGAATACAATGACTATTTGTCTACTATTAGACTGGTGCTGACCACCAGCCATCATCGCATTTGTTACCTATTTATATAAATATACAAATAAAAACATCATCAATTATAAAATATATGTAACTGGAATATCAAACAAGTTGTCAGCCTACATGACGGTAAGTGGTAACCGTCGCACATATACATGACGGATCACACATCATCATGTGATACCGGTGATGCCACAGATGCGTTGTCAAAGGACGACTAAGATGTAATGACTGTTATACTGTAAATTCACTACCTTATCTCACAATTCAACTGAAACATGCAAAATGAGTGCCTCTCTATGTAAATAAAGTTATTAACCCAATTATTCCATTAATTTTGAAACTTAAAGAAATATTCATCGTTTATTCACTGAATGTTATATCAATGTCTTGTAATGTTTTAAATCGTTTTTTTATTTGGACAAATATCTCATTCGCCATCTATTATACTAGACAACTGATATAAATTCTTAGATTTTTGTAAATACATACATAATATACAAGAATCGTCATCCCTTTGTTACATATGTTTGTTTAAAAATAAATAAAAACTCATGTATTTTTACAATTCTTTCAGGATCATCGTCGTCGTCTCCAATCAAGTTTATATATTTTAGTGCTAATTGGTGGTTTGTATTCACAAATTTCACATTTCAACACATTTAAAAAAAATTTAAATTACAGCAACACGCAAGTTTCTTGCTCGTTCTTCTTGTGATGAGACAGCTTTCCGAATGAGCGGTAGACTAAAAAACACAAGTGATGACTATTCAAAAGTGTTTCAATGTAAGTTTATTTGAATAAAAGTCATTGGCTTCCGTATATAAATTATATTTGTTACTAACTGTACTAGCGACTTCGTTCGCGTGGAATTTAACTTTTTTTTCTAAAATAAAAGTATCCTAAGTTACTTCTTATTACATCAGCTACCTGCCCAAAAAGCCCCGTCAAAATCGGTCCAGTCATTTCAGAGTTTAGCCGGAACAAAAAGAGAGAGACAGACAAAAATTTTAAAATATGTTGTTTTGGTGTATGTACCGTATTTATGTTTATATGCATGTAGTAAAAAACGGTTATTTCAATATTACAAACAGACGCTTCAATTTTATTTATATGTATAGATTTATTGTAAGTGATCATTACAATAAAAACAAAAGAAGAACAATGACAGGAACAATAATATAAATCTTCAGCAATCAGGGTAGTAATAATATAAAAGAGGAAAGGGGTTATCAGGAATGGAGATTCCCATTTGACTGTTACCACAATCGCAACATGTTTTCTATTCTTTTAAAAAATAACACATTATCCAACCAGTTCGTTCTAAGGATTATAAGACAGTTTCAAATAAATCCCATTCCGATACCGACGGCATGACCAAAGAGCCAAATATGGCGGATTGGTCGATGGCGAAATGATAATGAGCAGACGCCGCCTGCCACTCATCTAAATTCAATTCGTCAACTGCGCGCAATGTACGGACAGCAGAGAAAGTTATATATACATACGAGTAACGATAACGATAACGAGATAACATAATTTATTGTTGTGTATACTTCGAAAATAGCTTTTGCCCGCTGCTTCGCTCGCGTTAATGTATCCAAGTGCTCAGACCGATACTAATAGAGGCACTCGTGAATACAAATTTTGTACCGTGCGAGGAACCGAACCCGCGACCATTGTAGTACTACACCGCTAGACCGTCAAGTTAGGGGTAGAATTTATCAAAATGCTTTCTTAGGGAATGCCTACGTCATGCAAAGTCTCAGCCCGATCGGTTTAAAATTGACAAAGTTTCATATAAACTTTCATCCCCAATTTTATCGCTTTGGGGGTAGAATTAATCATAATCCTTTCTTAGCGGATGCCTACGTCATAACATCTACCTGCTTGCCAAATTTCAGCCCGATCCGTCCAGTGGTTTGGGCTGTGCGTTGATAGCTCACTACGTCAGTCACCTTTGAGTTATATATATTTAGATTCATACTTTACTATCTACCCGCCCCAGACTCACACGGGTGTACATGTATTACCTGTCTTCTTCTTCCTCTTAGCTCTGTCCCACTTTATGCGGGGTCGACTCTCCTAATTTTTCGGCACCAGGACAATCTGTCCTGGGTTGTCGGGTCGGGCAATTTTTCCGCAGCGACAAGCTTGCTCATACTGGTCCACCAGGTGGCTGGAGGACATTCTCTGACTCTTTTGCGTTCGGGTAGTTTTAAGGCCTTTTTGACTACGTAATCCTCGAGGATTACGTAGTCAAAAAGGCCTTAAAACAGGTAATACATGTACGAACATGTATTACCTGTAAATATATAAATATTTCCTTTTTAAAAAAGTTTAGTATAAAATTGAAGAGTTTATAAATGATAATAATGTTTTTGTAGAGAATATATAACTTAAAATTCATAACGCTAACAATATTATATGATTGAACAAAGATTGAGTGTGTAGCGGTTCCTATGTTGATAGTGGCATTTCTAATCCTTGTTAATGTAAATCTACTTAAAAATACATTTATTTTAAAGAGCAACACACAAGTTTCTTACTCATTCCATCATACTCGTGAACGGGTGCTGCTTGTGTTAAGACTGGTCTGCTCTAATTACTATGACTGATTTCTTAAAAATGTAAAGTAAGAATAAAATTATTTAAAAGTGCAACACGCAAGTTTCTTGCTCGTTCTTCTTGTGATGAGACAGCATTCCGAATAAGCGGTAATTAAAAAAAATGTGATGACTATTCAAAAGTGCTTCAATGTAAGTTTATTTGAATAAATGATTTTCTATTCTAATCTTCTTGTGATGAGTCTGCGTTCCCAATAAATAGTAGAATAAAAAAAATTGTGACTATTCAAATGTGCCGATATTAAGTTTATTTGAATATAGATTATTTCTATTTCTAAACATTTCTTTTAAACTTCTCTATCTAGTGCTAAAAACTGTATTAAAATCCGGTGCGTAGTTTAAAAGATATAAGCGAACCGACAGCGAACAAGTTTTGTGCACACACAAAACTTCCGCTGTCGGTGAAATACATTATCTCAGACTCTTAAATATGTTATATGGTATGTATATGATATATTTGATATACGGGTTTATTTTATTAATATTTATTTAAAGCTTTATATATATTGTATGTATTTGTGTATGTATATACATGTTTACATGTACTTACTTTTAGTAAATATATATTATTTATGACATAGGTTTTATTTTTCTTATTGATTACATTTGCACCGCCTACAGTTTCTCTGCACAACCTGTACTTCAGTCCACATATGTACTTTTACATATTATATTATTTCTATTTTTCTCTGCATTATTAGTGTCAACTTGTTTTGCGGACGGTACCAGAAGGAGTGCTGTAGCACTTGTAATTAATTCTATATCTACGTTTTTGCTCGTCATCTCGTTTTAGGAGCAGACTCGGATAAATCTAAACAATATTGGACATATTGAATTATATACCACGACCATAATCCCACTATTGGTCTATTCTCTCGCCATAAACATAGAAACAATATCCCTGAACAATTCATACAACGCCATCTAGTCTACGGCTACGGTGTCATAGAAAGTAATGGTTTGGATGAAGCAGAATCTCCCAATTTGGCCGTAGATTTTATAAATATGAAGCAATGATGTACCTTTATCATCTTCATCTTCTTTATCATCATATTAACACGGTTACACTTGCGTGAAATTTATAGTCTATGTGTCATTCTGCTGTATCATTACGTAGTACAAAACAAAGTCGTGGTCGCCTTGTGCCCGTCCCTATGTATGCTTAAATCTTCAAAACTACGCAACGGATTTTGAAGCGGTTTTTTTAATAGATAGAGTGATTCAAGAGGAAAGTTTATATGTATAATACATGTACACCCGTGCGAAGCTGGGGCGAGTAGCTAGTATTATTATAAAGTTTTGTCAAAATCCGTTCAGTAGTTTTTCGTGAAAGAGTAACAAACATCCATCGATTCTCACAAACTTTCGCGTTTATAATATTAGCGAGATTTCTGCTTGATTACTAAATACAGAAG